ACTTTGGGAACCACTGTACGTACAGTCCATCCAAACCTTTCCACTTGTGTAGTTCAAAGACCATGTCCACTGTTTGCTGTGAGCTGTTTTTTCTCGTTTTCTGCAAATCCTGTGATGTGCAAATCCTTCAAATACAAAAATTCAAAGAAATCACAATTATATTTAAGAAACTTGGCATAATACAAATGATTTTACCCATTTTTTTTTTCACATAACCAGCATATTTTCTTTTGGATTTAGCTCAGCCAAAATGAAACAGGAAGTGACATCAAACGAGAAAGAAAACCCTCTCACTGATCTTTGTTTATTGAAACATTATTTGAACTTTGACTCTTCTTCATCTCTCTGATAGTGACTTAAAATGATCTAAAGAAACACCAGCTTCTTCTCTACAGTCTGTGTTGTCAGACATTTTATCAATACTCTGCTCACATGYAGACATTCCCCTTTGACATCACTTCCTGTTGCTTTACWTGCAAATATCTCAACAACTGCTCATCTCATCGGTGTGAAATTTATTTTGSGTTATGTTATCAGTGTTGYCTTTCCAAAAATGAATTCAAATTTATGACAAAAATTTAATGTCACAGGCACTTTAAAGTCAGGAAATAACTGTCTCTGCATAAATTATATACAAAACATAACTTGTTGAGGATGTTATCAATGATTGTCAGCYTTTGTAATTGWAAAAGGGACCGCTGGGTGTGGTAGYTGTGTTTCTAATTKCTKTGTAGAAAACACTCATTAGTTGTGGGTCACACAACTTTTAAATTAAAACCAAAGAATGAAGGATTCATTGGGTAAATGTCAAATATAACAGCCTGAATGAAATTAAGTGTCTACTAAATTACAGCTTACTAGTCTTACTTTGATCATTTATCATATATAAAATGATTTATATCGACTTGTCAAAGTGTGCAGCAACATGTCTTTTAGGTCTCGTTTACAGGAAAAGTCCATTGGTTGGAAAATGGTTGGAAAACCCCAGAAGTTACCGAAAATTTTAATTTTAAAGCCCTGTAAAACTCCTCTCGGGAATAAAGTGGTGTGCAGTATCATAGTATAAACATTCAAAACGTGAAAACGGGTATAAAACCAATATATAAAAATAAATGCCAAAGAATAWAAATGAGTYTTAAGTGGATGCTTAAAAGCAGCTAAAGAAGATGTGTGCCCTCTCTAATATTCAAAGGCTATTCATTCTAAATTTTGGGCCTCACCACCCCAAAAGTACAGTGCCCTCAGAGCCTACATCCAGGAAACTGTGAAAACAGGAGGACATGGTTGACGAATGATAAGTTGTAGAAATAAATTGGAACCTTCCGCAAAGTGGGAAAGTCCAACTTGGAAAAACAAATGTTCCACAGTAGCCTCAATTAAAAAAAAAAAAAAATCCAATGTGAGCCCAACTCAGAGAAAGTGGTGCTAACTGCAGTAATAAACCTTTTGTTTGAATCTCATTAAATCAGTCTCACACATAGTACAGTTACGATTACTGAATATGTCGCCACAGCGTTTGAATGCAAAAATCACAGGAAAATTATCAACCCAGTTCTGGCTTCTGATTTAAAAGAAATGTGTGTTCCTAAAAATGACGCTTAACTTTTCCATGAAGCTAAAAGTCACAAATACATGATTGTACATTTAGGTAGAAGTTGTAATACCCAACCAAGTTAAGAAATGAAAGAAAGCTGACAAGCTGCTCATTTAAATTGGGGGAGAAAGATTTGTTGGAATCACTTAATCACTGTGCAGTCATTAGAGCAGACCGTAATACTTCCCTSAGTTATCTCAAGATGCCTTAATGAGGRCATTATTAAACAYGCAGGGCAACATACTGCTGATTATRTGGCCTCATTAATTACCAGTCTCAGTAGAAATGTTCGTTAATTGAGATTCCAGCTGAGAAACCCCTGGTGCTGTGACGCTGTGGCTTTGTAGCAGTCATTGTCATTAGGAATGGTTTTGGCTTTTAAACGGGATGACTTTAAGTGAGCATTATTTCAGTTCCTAAATAGATGCAGGTTTCARTGTTCATCTGAGAAAAGATGGTGTCTTTTAACACGACAGCAAGGGGTTTAGGAAGTATGTTCAATACCACAGATTTCCTTTCTGATACTGAGAAAAACAGGCTGGTATCAGCGATACTGACATTTATGCAAATGCATTTAATGTGTCTTGTAAATCTAAAACATGTAGTGTATTTCAAATCACCGCTTCACAAAGAATACAAGACATCAGAATAATTTATTTGTTCATTTTAAACTATATTGATGTAGCATCCTCATTTACAGCATATCCGAGCTAATAAAACAGAAAAACCAAACAGACACAATCATACAAAAAAAATGGGAAAATTGTGTTTCAAACAATAAAAAATTAAATGAAATAAATGAAGTAAAATAAAAATAAATTATTGTTTAATTATCAAGGACTACTATAAAAATGAAAACTTGTTTCTCAATTTACGTTACATGAACATGTTAACATGAAAAATCTGAACATGTAACATCTAGACTGGCGGAAGAAAAAGTAGTTCCTACGAAACTACTAGTATGATTTAGATAAAATTTTAATAGTTTGCTTTCCACTGTGATCCTGTTAATCATATACATTACTTTAAATTACTGAAGTATCACATAATAGATATTTTGATTTTAGAATCRATTTTAAAGTGTAAAGTTCTGGTATCAGTGTTTTATTATTGATTTATATCCCTTTTAGTAAGTGCTCAATAGTAAATAAACACATTGTGGAAGTCTGTTCTGTTTATTTTTATCTAAATAGACAAAACTGGGTTATTTCCTGTTGCCTTTCATGTATTTCATATCAGTGACATTGAGAGTTGTGATGTATTTATGTGTTACAGCCTTGTGTTTTTGCAGTTTGTTTTCCAGAGATACTTTATCACAGATATCTTGGTTGTGAAACACCAGGTGACAGAAATATCACAAAGTCGATGATCTTCTGTACTGGATGACTCACGTTTTAAGTTGAACATAATCCTGGTTTGCCTCGGACTTGACATAAAGGGAAAAAGACACCATACATCCGGATTACTCTCACTCATATCCGTCAGTGTAATGATTGATTTTTTAAATTTATTTTTATTTATTTTATTTTTTTATTATTATTATTTTACAGGTTGAGATAAAAACTTTGAAATAATTCAGTTGCAAAGACCTGGTAGCTTTATTGTACTTTTACTGGCCCAACTAAAATCTTAACTTGGTAAGTCAAAAAAAAAAAGGCAGAAGATAATAAAATTAATGACCTTTTGCACTTTTAGCTCGTTTCACAGTTGTTGGAAATCTACATGCAAATGTTTTCTGCGAGTGACATGACGGCAGTAAAAAAAAGAAAAAAATAGCTGAGCTTTTAAATAATTTCCAGTAAGACTGTCCTTCATTTCTCCTCATGTGTTCGTACACGACCTCGTGTTTAGAGGAGACAGGTTTAAATGAAAAACCATAGGGACAGTGTGAGGTTTTGTTTGCAAACGCCCAAGGTACTTCTTCCCATGTGCTGGAGTAGTTATTTGTACTTTTATAACTGAACATAGAAATTCTGCTGTCATTCGACCAACGGTCCGGCTGCGTTTCTTCATCAGATAATCTAAGTTTTGTGCCACAGAAATAGGCTTGGTGAATTTGCACCAAGAACAAACATCTAACAAGCTGCTTTAAAATGGTAACATCAGCTGACTTTCTCACAGCAAAACTTACACTTACTGGACACATACAGGTTTGTCTTTCCACTGATGTAAAGCACATGAAAGTAATTTCCATAAACCTCTACAGTTACATTACAGTACACAAAACTACAGGTGAATTTGTATTTTATTGTAATCACTGCTCTTAAAAGAAATAGTCAAATACTTCTCATTTAATGGAAGTGGTTTAATAAAACAGATTGTAGGACACACACACACACACATACAGTATATATATACTGTATATATATGTGTGTGCACAATKATGTTCATAGATAACAAAATACAATAACAATTTCAACAATTTTAAATAAATACATTACAGTGTTGTAATAAATTGAAAAAAAAACATCAACAGTTTCTGTAGAGTCTAATAAAGTAGTGTCAAATGAGTGAAAAAAAACAGTTCATTTGCTGGTGAAACAGCTTCTACCATTTCCTCTTAGCCTCAGGGAAGAGCCATTTCCACTTGTCATTCTAAAAGGGGAAAATATGTCTATTATTAGTCATTTTGGTGCAGCCAAAAAGCAAACAAAAAAAAAAACAAGGTAGTATTTCAATGAAAGTGCGTCACTCACCTTTATCCCCCAGGATGAGTAGTTAAATTTGCGTTTGCTGTCCTCCACGGGTTCGTAGCTGCTGTTGGGCTTGACGGGCTCCTTTTGGTCGGGGATCAGTTCGTACGTGTCGTCCTGATTCAGAACAGGGGTTTCAATGGCAACCTCAGCGTACAAAGAATTGCTCTGCTGCTGTGCTGTTGATGACCGGTTGTTAAAAGATGCTGGACCGGCCAGGTGATAGACAGCGTTGTCACTCATGCCGTCCAAGCTCTGGCTGCTGTTGGACTGAGGAGCATAGCTGGCGGCCTGCCTGATCGGCTTGGGAGAAAGTCTTGGCGGGGTGTCAGGAGGGACCCTTAGTCTGTAACACTGCTCGGTGTCGGAGCTGCTGTCCAGCAGGGGCAGAGACTTGCTTTTGCTATCCAGAGGGTTGAGTTCAGTGTAGACAGATTCTGGTGCTGATGGGGGACTACACCGGCCRTTGTTTCTGTTTTTGGCATTTGAACTCTCAACTTTCCTTCGGCTGACTTCCGGTAAATTGTCCTGTTGAACGTGTTGGATTCTTGGCTTCTCTTTCACTGTCTGCTTCTTGAGCTGAGCATACACAACCCCATCCTGTTCGTCAGTGAAGGGGCCACTGTCGAGGTGCCTGCTCCTCCGAGGCAAAGGTGGTACCTCCTGTAAGTCAGTTTCTCAAAGTCAGCTCTGAGAAATGAATAAAGCGCATTTCAACAAAGCTACAATCCCGCTRACTTCACTCACCTCTTCAGTTTTGTTGCCTTTTGGTTGCCATGCTGGTTGGTGGTCTGGGGCTGAGGCAGTTTTCTGTTTTTGCAAGTTCTTTGCAGCTCTGAGAACAGCTTCTGGTTTGTCTTTGGGGCTTACCCGGATGATATCATATAGGTCTTCACTGTGATCCTGCAAAAGCAAAAACACCAGTTACACCCTCGTAACATCAGGTATTGTTGCGGATATTCAAAGTAGTTTTTGTAGCTGTAGTATTATTTTAAAAATTAGGCTTACCTTAAAGCATGGAAATGTCAAATACTCCCCAAACGGCTCAATAGGAATTGTTTTATAGTGCTCTATTAGTTTAAGTACAGTGTCGTGCCCCTCGTTGTCTCCGGACACCACAAACTGTCCCGTCACACTTTGGCTGATCACAAAGTGTCGAAACCGATCTCTGCCTCTGTAACAGAGAAATACAACTTCAGCACTGATGTAACACCCTAAACTCTTCAGAGTTTAAATAAATACAGGCCCGTATAACTGGTGATAAAATAAACCCAAGGTTTATTAATAATCAACCAAATAATCTCTGTTTTGTGTGAGAACTGATAAAACACTGCAGCCACCAATCATGACATTTTGCAGCCTAAATATCCACCAATAAGATGAGCTGTCAAACTATGAAGCAGTGATAAACAAATTAGGAATTGTAACATCAACATATTTATAGTACAGATATCTCAAAATATCGTCATGAAGTATTTAATATTTGCATATTTTTAAATTTGTCAAAGCAGCACTGAAAGATGAGAACCAAACACGTAAAAGTATATGAATATTAAAATACACATCATTCATTTCACTTTCGTACAATTTATTCTTATATAAATGAGATCATCCTCTTTTGATAAACGAGTACTCACTTATAAGACAGTATGTATCCGATAGCCTTATCGCTCAGACGAATCAAGTAACATCCCAGCTCCTTATCTTTCAGTAAGTTCTCAGCATCCCTGGAAAAAAGACAAGAAAAGGGTTAGAAAACAGAATTAAACCCATTTGGTGCTTGTTTACAGATATTATTGTAAATTTTACTTTGGAGATCACATCTTTGTAATGGAAATCCCATTTCACTTTCGCTACAAGCCCTTTCCATCAGACGTGACTGTCCCGTGTGTGTTTTCTGTAAGTGTTTGTGTGTTGGAGGAGAGGGGAAAGGCCAGAGGGGTGGGAGTGCGTGTACCGCGAGGTGGACACTTTTCCATCTAAAGTGKGTCTGTGGCGTCTTGTATACACACACACCTGCGTCCCTCTCGTTCTGGACGAGCTCCGTTTTTAATGGCAAAGTTGAAAATAAATCCACTGAATTAAATAAACTGAGTAACAGGACTCCCACTATCACTGGTTGATTTACTCAAACACTAAAACACAAGCAGCTTCAATGACTAATTTTATTCAATAGGGACTTTTTCTATCTTTTGTTACAAATCTAAGCTGTAAGAAGTTAATTTATATAATATTTGAAGACCCTCAACTTGGTGTTTTGTGACCCGAAGTGGGGGTTGTGACCTGTACTTTGAAAACCTCTAAAATAAATTGTAGTATTTTGTGTAAATACAATTTAAAAAATTAATCATATTTCCCCATGTGTCCTCAATAAATACTTACTTTCTGCTGGTGAAGCCCATGAACCAGGAGGGGAAGAGGCCATTGTTGACGATAAGCGGCACCTGGGTGTCTATGAACCACTTAGAGGCCAGATCTCTGAGATTCCCACCATTGGTTCCTTCACCGTTAGGATCCCCCGTCTGTTCCTTTTGTTCCATTCTCACCTTATCCTGTTCAGCAATGAAGAAAACAGCACTGATGTCCAGTGAAGACAACCAGCATTCACCTCCTGGGGCATGGAGCGAGTCAGTATTTTAACGGTCTAATTTGCTTATTTTCCAGGAGGTGTCAACCTGAGCCTAAAAGCAGCTCAGTGCTCTCATTGTAGTTGAAAAAAAAAGAGGTTGTGCTGTTTCTTGTTTGAGCTTTACTGTTTTACAGTATGGCGTTTTCTATCCCAAGTGTGAAAAATCTCGAACTCTTTAATCGACCACTGTTGATCTGAAACATGTTTACTTAGGAGGATGTGGTTTGCAAGTTAAAGCTATCAGTGACTGGTTTTAGTCACATTTGGAGACACTTCGTACCTTGAAGCAAAACTTCACTCGAGTCCTGTAACAGTGGGATTTTGGATGGTTTGGATCCTTTGGTTTTGAATGTGAAAAGTAGCCGAAGTTGTCAGATCTGGCTTTCTGCGGTCTGCATAACATGCAGCAGTCCCTCTCAACTCCTGTAAAAGAAGAAAAAAAAGTGAATTTATATGTAAAGTTGACATTAGGTGTTTATTTTTTTTAATTATTATTGGTAAAGCAGAGAGAGAGAGAGAGCACGTACCTGTCCTTGTGATTACCACTGTGTGGTTTGAACCCAATGTCATTGCAGAAAACATTAAAAGCCTCCTCTTGACTCGGTCTCTAATCTTCAACTGAAAGTGTTCTGAGTGTGACCCAAGAGGGAGATATAGGCTGATGACATTTTACAATTACACACGTTTTTCCACTGCTCTGGAAAGCAGAGATGCTCAGCAGCGACACGGCAGACTTCAAGCGGCTCATTTGCATAACAAAAACAGCTGAAGCCTGGTTTGAACAAGGCGAGCGTTTCCTGAAGAGAAACGGAAAGTGAGGTCTACAGGAACAGTGGTTTGTGCGCAACACGCTCACATGGGCTTGCAAAGGGGAGACGTACCCACGGAGTGTCTGATTAACCTACGTCAGGGACGAGTTGCGTCAGAAGATTTTCTTTGAATGTACTTTTTGACCTGAGTGTACAATAAATTCAGATCACTGGTTTGGAAGATGGGACCAAACAAGTGGAAGGATGGAAAGATTTRTGAGGAGTTGTTGGAGAGGATGAGATTGTTTTGAGGTGGATAACTCATTCACCCCGTGGTTCCGACTGTAGTCATGAATCATTTAGTTCTGGTTGGTAAAGAACAGTATGGAACTTCTTGTGGGGGACAGCCAATAACCAGAAATGGTCTGTGTCATACAGTAGAAAACAAGACTGTTCAGATTTTATCATACCACTTTAACAAAACACAACCTTACCCCATTCTACAAGCATAAAGAGGAGATGAACTAAAGATTCAAAGTGTTTATTGTCATATGCACAGATGAAACATGTTTCCCTGAGCAATGAAATTCATACTTTGCCGACCACAGTGAATGCCAAGAGACAACCAGACGGAAAAGAACAAACACTTAATGGATAATAAGAAGGTAATAAGGGATAAAGGATAAAAAGACCATACTTGGAACAAAAAAGGAGACCAAACTAGAGATAATATCAAGAAAGGAAAGTAAAGTAAAGTACCAACAGTTGTTGTAACACGACCTAAAATTTCAACACAGCCTTCATGGCGCTCTCTATCTGCTTGATGGGCCTCTGTGAGTCATAATGTGCTCCTCTGGGGGAGAGATGAGGTTTGAGGTCAACTGTTATCACCGGTTCCGTCTTTGTTGAGGGTCGTGTTCGTGAACAAAAGCTGCCACGCCGAGCGAGTTCCGGCTCTTTCAGCTGATATGTACGTTTCAGCTTCTTAGGAGGCGGTGGATGTGTAAAAGGTCACGAGTCAGTTGCGAAAATGTCACCGCAGCTAAATCACATCATGTCTGCGTCCACCTTCCCAAGACCCGGAGGTGAAACGAGCAACTTTACGGTTCAAAAAGTTGGCAAATGTTTTTTTTTTCCTTTGTAAATACTGTGAGTTGTTTTTTCTTTGAAGCTTATATTAAATGGGGAAATCAACAAGTGTATTTCCCAGCATGAAACCAGTCAGCTACAGGTTACTCACTGTACTGAGGCCCACATACGGCATGAGAAAACAAGTTAACATGTTTTCCTTCGCCTTCAGACTAACTTACACCAGTAGGAAAACAACAGGTTAAAATCTGGTGATTTGACTTCTCCTGTTTTTTTTTTTTTTCATGAGTCACACATAAATACATTAGGTGCCCACCCACATCAGAGATTATGCATTTGAAATGATTACCGGTAAATGTAGCTCAGAGTCACTTTGTTAGTCTATGTTTTAGGTTTTACAAAGAATAAAGAGAGAAGCAAAAATAATGCAGACAAATTATTTAAGTTTTCTTTGTATGTCAGCATTTGTTTTAATTGACATTTACATTCAACTAAAGTACACTGTATATTTTGTTGTTATTTTTTGTCTATTTTTGATGAGATAAGGTAGGTAGTGGGTGCCATGCACGCAAGTTTATCTCTAATGCCCTTTAAGCTAAATATAGAAAGAGATTTTGCTGTCCACGCAATCTGGTACAGAATGAGTCACTCGGAAAGAATAAACACACTCAAGTAAACAAATGCAAATAAAAAAATAAAGCTTTAAAATGGTTGTTCATAAATCACTGGGTAATTTTCTTTTACATTAAATACTTTACAGGACAGTTTTGATAAAGAAGTTTTCCTTTTAGATTTAAATACAGCATACAATTCCATTATTCATCATTTGTTTTAATCTGAACAGGCAACAGCAACTGCACCATGTGATAATAAATATAAAGTTGCCAAACACAAAAAGCTATTAAAAACAACTCAGACATTCTTAATCGTTTCTACCATGTATTTATTTAGCTTATTAATGTTGTCTTGAAAGACAGGAACCATATTATTATTANTAGTAGTAGTAGTAGTAGTAGTAGTAGTAGTAGTAGTAGTAGTAGTAGTAGTAGTAGTAGTAGTAGTAGTAAGAGTATTTATTTTCACCTTTTATTGGGGAAAAGTATTGTTTGATCTTTAGTCTTATGAGGACCTACTTATTTTTTTCTTTTGATTTTTTCCTACCTGGATTACTGAGATGCATCAGGACCTTTAATCTTATGCTACCAAGAATAAATGAGGACAAACTAATTGTATAAATCTACAAAATACACACAGCAGCTGCAAATACATTTAAAAGAGCTAATTTAACATGTTACATAGTACAAATTTTGTGGGGTTAGAGAAGAAACATATACAAATAAACATCAAGAAGTTAGTCTGTAATGTTGTTTTATTAGTTTGAGTATTTTGTAATTTTCTTATTTTAAAAGGGACAGTTGTCCCAAAAATAGTTTTAAAGTCAGTCTTAAAACATGCAAATTGTTTTGCTTGCTTGTTTGTTTTGTTTTTGTTTCATCGTTTTATTTTGTGTATTTGAAATTATCAAATTATTAGAGCTGAATTAAAGGATAAGTACAAAAATAAATCAAAATATCCCTCATCCAGAATCTGTTTGACCTGCTTTTTTTTTCTGGAAGTTCTACGTACCATCTAAAAATAGTACAACTGAAGAACAAATGAGATTTTCTTTGATCAAACCACAAAAAAAGAAAAAATGTRCTTTTCATATTTACCAGTTGTCGCCTTGCAAAACAGCGCCACCCTGCGGCAATCTCGAGTAACGCATGCGCGCTGTCCCCCGCAAACACCACGGCCCGTCAACTACATTTCCCAGAACCCTCTGCTCAGGACGAAGGCAGTCATGCGGATGGAAACAGGAGTTGGCATCCGCTCCGCTGCGCRAGGAAGAAACTTCGAGGGAAGATGCACGAAGAGGAGGATGGCGGCGACTCAAACTCCTGCTCGGCCCCGCGGCTGCCGTCCTTCAAGTCCGTGGACGTGGCCGACGTCGACGGCGGGAGGGAGCAGGCCCCCAAACTGTGCGGCTACTTGAACAAGCTGTCKGGCAAGGGGCCTCTCAGGGGGTACAAGCTGCGCTGGTTCGTGTACGACCCGAGGAAATGTTACTTGTATTACTTCAAGACGCCCCAGGACGCCCTTCCCCTCGGACACATCGATATCGGCGATGCCTGCTTCATGTACGACGCGGAGGGGCACGAGGGCCAGTTTGAAGTCCGCACAGCCGGGAAGGAGTTCCTCCTGAAGGTAGAAAACTTCTTTCAACATGACGACACCTAAACGCAGCATGCTCTGTTTTTGCTGTCAATTATCACTTCCTTTATAAGGGCGGCAGACACACCCATTGAACGGATTTATTTTTTAATCTATGCGTAAAATTGAAAGTATTCCAGTTGACAGGCTCTTTAAAAAAAAGCTCAGTCAAACTAATGCAGCTGTTTGTGTTTTGGCCCAGATTTACTCGAATATGAGCTCATCTTGGGGTCACAGCATCTCTCTGCTGTCATATGACTCTGACTAAAACAGGGGGCCTGTCTCTGGAAGAAATCTCTGTTTTCAGATTGTCTCACTTGTTGATGTCAAGCAGCTTGAATGAGCAGAGGCTGGATCTGATACTGAAACCAGCCTCTGCTCAATTCACATGACATGTCTAAATAGAGCTGCTCAGGTTTTTTTTTATTTATTATTCCCACATAGATTTTAATGTAAGAGGAAGCTCTTTTTTTATTTATCCAAGTACATATATGAGTTGTGTTTAATGTTTCCAGGCCCCCAACAGGCAGGTGATGCACTACTGGCTGCAGCAGTTGCAGCAGAAACGCTGGGAGTACAGCAGCACAAGAGGCGGAGGTGGTCAGAGAGACAGCTGGAGCTCCCCAACCCTGGTTTATCCTCCCACCGGCCTCGTGGGCAAAGATAACGGTAACACACACACACACCACACACACATTTACAAACATCTTACATGCATTTTTTTTATTCTCAGCCTCATAATTCCCATAAACTAAACTAGTCAGAGAAAACAGACGCCACAAACATTGTCTCCAGAAAGATTGTGTGGGAGTGGAAGGCTCTGATGAAATCAAAATCAGCACAAGGAGAAAGAGTTTATGTCAGATTTACTTTGCTCACTTTAGCTGTGTTTTTTTTCTTCCAAGATTCTTATAAACTCACTCTCAAGATCAAGATTTAAATTCAAAACATTGATGCACTGTTTACTTGATGAACGTGTTTCTTCTTAAGGAAAATCCGATTATTTTCGTTTATGTCTTTGCGTTTCACCTTTTTAGTAAATACATTGAACTCTCGAGTTAAATTATTGTAATGTTTGCAAATATTGAGTAAATCTTTGTTTGGTTTATCGAATTTCTGCCGTCTTTCAAAAAGTGTCACCCTTCAGATGAAAGCGATGCAGTGTGTGTGTGTGTGTGTGTGTGTGTGTGTGTGTG